ACCACCATGCTATTTTTTTGAGGCCAAATTTACCTGTTCAGTTCCCAGCTAAGTCCAAATTCTTTATTCCACCTAAAGCGCAGATCAAAGGAATGTGGAAATCAGCAATTTGCTTCCAACAAGGAAGCTTCTTTTTGATTTCCTCCCAGATCAATAAGGACAGCTTTAAATAGATTTTAGATGTTGTTCTAAACTGTCAAACCTGTCTCCCTAGCAGACCTCTCTTCATCTTATTTCTGTAACACACAATTATGTCAGACGAGACCTGTGGGTTCTCACTTCAGTAACGACTGCAATCCGCAGCATCTTAATTCATACTCACTGATTCATCAGCCTGCTGATTTTCTGCTTGATGTTCTGGTTCTTGCTGTTCATTTGCATTATTTTGATCATCATCTTCACCTTCATCCTGGTGCTGGTTGTCATGTTCATAAGCTGAAAAATTTCTCAGGTTATTATTGTGATTTCACTTAGTCCCTTCCAACCCAAACCATTCCATGATTCTCTATAATTTAAAGAGATCAAACAAACCCATAGACAGAGCCAGGAATGTAATCCCTATCCTAGGAGCTCAATCAAAAGGACACTTTTCCATTCAGGAATGTGAATATGATCTTTAGTAATTCCTCTATTCCACTCAGTCAGTTCAGTCAGGGTTATTTGAGCTTCTGGTTTTAAATTGCAAGTTTATGTTTCACTTGAATCCAAACTGCATATGAAATGAATATTAAAGTCTCCCATGGAAGGCAGCACACAGAGAACCTGTGAGTGTGGCAGGGACAGGAATCTTCCCTTACCTCCTTCCTCTTCCTGAATCCCTTGCTCTTCTTCCCCTTGTACAATATCCTGGTCCATGTTGTCATAATGAGCCTGTTGGCTGAGAACATTAAATGCCAAACATCATTTCAGCTTCAAAAAAGTGTGTTTCTGCTTTAATAAACAAACCCTCCACCTGCACCTCTGCCTCTCTCAGCACCTGCCAGAACGGGTTCCAATTTCACTTTCTATTGCCTGATGTTTTCTCACATCACCTTTCCTGAAATACTTTTGATAGAACAAAGATTTTCCTGTCCTGCTACACACACTCTGTGCCTGCCTCTCTGTGTGGAGTTCACAGTCCTGATGGCTGTGGGTCAGGCAAAGAGCAAAGTCAGGCCCCTGAATTTTGGGAAACCAAACTTCCAGCTCTTCAAGGAATTAGCTCCCAGGACCCCCCCACCCCGGGAAACCACCCTCAGGGACAAGGGAGCAGAGCAGGACTGTGACACCACGAAACCTCAACACAGACCACGACAAATTCACATGGAGGAATTGAACCTGAGCTGGTTTTTGTAGAGTTTTTCCCCTTGTTCTGCCTGTTTGTGGAGCTGGAGCTCTTTCTCCTGGAGCTGCTGCTGCCTCAGGATCTGCCCTCGCAGCCTTTGCTGGTGCAGCGACTCCTGGTGCTGCCGGAGCTGCTCGGCCTCCTCTGCTCTCTGGGCTCCAAGGTGCTGCTGCTCCAGCTGTTGCTCATAAGCTGGTTTTTGTCTCTTTGGCACAGCTTTTGTTGGTGTTGCCTGTCCAAGAAATGTGTTAGTCACAGATTAATCATCGTTTCAGTGGGCAGGAACAAGCAGGGAGAAAACTGTCCAGAGGGAAAACTGTGCAGGTGGTACGTGCAATAGGCAAAATTACAGTAAAATTATTTTAAGTCTTCCTGTCTTTGCTTAAAGTTTAAATAATTTTTTTAACACGGACTGGAAGTGTTGAGGTGTTTGTGGAACAAGAGGAGATCATGTGTTGAGGGATACCAACCTCTCCTTTTCTCACACATCAAAAATATAAACCCTCCCAGTATACTACCAGTCTAAGGAGGTTTTGATGGCTGACAAGACAGCAAATGTTTCCATTGATTTAACTGGTAATCTCAGTGGGGGCTGCTTTTAGCCTTGAGTGAGACACTGCACATTTTTTTACACTCAGCAATAACTTAAAATAACTCCAGTTTCACAGCTTAACCCACTGCTGCTGTTCTGACCCACTGCACCTCTTCAGCAACAGCTTCTCATCACCCCAGAGTTACACAATTAATCTGCCAGCAGACAGAGTGTTAACAAAGCCTAAGGTGAGACCAGTAAAATACATTTTCCACTGGAGATCCAATCTAGAATGCAAATCCAGGATTTGCTGGTTTTATTTAGAGCTGCACAGAGCACGACTGGCTGTTGCTGAGCACTGATTTCCCCTGGCTGTTCCATCATGTTCACCTGGCAGTTAAAATTTCCTGTCAAATGATGATGAGCATTTAGATGGCAAAGTGTTTGCAGATCTGTCTGACAAGGAAACACGCTCCAATTTGCTGAGATGCATCAAATTAGCAGAGCAGGACATCTCTCCATCACAGTGCTGAGGATAAGCCCCATTCTCACCTGCTGTGTCCTTCACCACAGGCCTCAGATTGAAAGCAGGAGACAGGATTCAGTCTGCTGCTCTTTTTTATCCATCTGCTGCTTTTTATCAGCAGAATTAATGTTCATTAAGACTTGGCCAGCACTGCAGTACAAGCGTGCTCAAGTTGAGCCTGAATCCTGTGCATCCAAGTGCTTTGAATCCCAAATTTTCTATGAATATGACAGTAATTTTATCCAAAAAGCAGGGAGTGCTCTGAATCCCAAGCTTTCTATAAACGTGACACTGGTTTTACTTAGAAATAGGAGAGTGCAATACAGGGCCAGCAATGATAAGAGCAGCCTCATTTAAATAGCAAATCTGAAGAGCTCCATACCTCTGACTGGAGGTGATCACCCAACATGTTGGTTTCTTCTTCTTTCTGCTCCTGCTTTTTCCATTCGTGCTCTTCTGGGACTTGATCCTGCTCCTCCCCTAAGTGCTCAGGCTGACCTGCCTGCTCCATTTCTTCCTCCTGAAGTTCCTTTTTGCGTTCTTCTTCGGCTTGGTCAGCACGTTGCTCAACATCCTCTCCAGCCTCTTGTTGCTCCTGAATATTGAGCTCTTTGGGATGCTGGACCTCCTTAGCCCTTCCCTGGAGATGGAAGGGCTCAGCCCTGTCTGCTTGTCCCTGGGTATTTATTTCTCCTCTCTCTTTTGGCTTCTCATTCTGCAAAACATACACAGGATTATGTGTGGACAGGATATTGGGGTTTTTTTTTTAGTTTCAAGAGAGCCAAGGACAGATACAGATCCTTCATCCCAGCCTGGAGCACTGAACCTGCTGTCAGGAGGGCCAAGGTTTGGAACAAGCTACTGCTGAAGTGGAACAAAAATTCTTACAATCCTACAAAGCAAACTCAGTATTTTAGAGACACATTTCAGTGGTGGCAGCGCTGGGTTAACGGTTGGACTCGGTGATCTTGAAGTGCTTTTCCAACCTGAATGATTCCTTGATTTTTATTTCCTGTGGGTTCTGCCGTCTGAGAATTCTTGTAAAACAAAGACACAACTGATTTTGTAACTTCTGGACTTCATGTTTTCTTCCTGAACGCTGGAGCGTGTGCCAGTTTTAAAGACACTGACCTTAATGTGCCACTGGAACTTCACAAACCACAATTCCTTCACCACTTGCTCAAGCTTTTCTGTAACCCATGAGGCATTTAAAATGTTATAGATCACTTTTTCAGAAAGTTAAGACTTTCAGCAACTTCTTAAAACAGCTGACACAAATACACTTAAAACTGTCACATGAGAGAAGGGCACCATGAATATATTTTTATCAATAAGATCAAACTGTTCCTTGCTGTTTTACTCGAGATCTGACAAATAAAAACACACTTTCTAATAGACTTTCAGCACAGGTTTTGCTGGATAAGAACCATTTCTGTGGTGTCTGAAGCCGGTCAGCGCTTCCTACCTCCTGGTGCTGCTGAGCCACAGCTCCCTGGTGCTCCGGGAGGTCACTGTGGGGGGACATTCTCCGCACCTCAGGCTGCTCATTCTCTCCTTCCAACCTCTCAGACTGTTGGAAACTCGGTATTTTTTTGAGGGTGTCCTTCAGCTGTTTGTATTCCTCCACCTGGGACTAAAGCCAACATGTTAATTACAGTGTGTCCAAATTAATTTCTCGATAAAAAGTAGTTGCCTCGCTGTAAACTTGCTGGAGGGACAACGTGGTGGAAAGGTTGGATATTCCAGGGAGGAGAAGGGACAGGAGTTTTAGAACAGGTTTTATCTCCACAGATTAGGTAACACTGATTGATCAGGACCTTTTCAGCCAAAGTGCACATGCATACAAAGTGTATTAGAAACATCTCTGTGGGGCAGAGAGGAAGATTTGGTTTATTCATGCCAAGCAGAAGTGTCAGAAGGGGATGATGCAGTTTTCCTGGCAGCCTAAAGCAAAGGAAATCGAGAGCACCACAACTTCTCCTTTGCTGGCAGTAAGAAGTGCAGCTCTTCCAGAAACAGTAGTTTTAAAGTACATACATGTCATGAAAATGCCAAATCCTCAACACTTAGACAGGTGTCCCACAAGGCAACAGCCAACATAACAGAAACGAGGCAAAGAAATTCATAGCACACCACTGGTGAAGGGCAAGGGGAAAAAATGAAAAGAAGTAGAAGGAAAATGTAAATTTCTAAAGTCTTCCTGAAATGCAAGGGTAAAATGTTGTAATTGATTTGCTGTTGAACTTCGTGGAAGATCAGGGTGCTTTCAAAAGGCTTTAAGGGAAATCCAGATGGGTTGGGACACCAGTTCCTGGCTCTGCAGCAGGTGCACAAGAAGGATTGTCGATGGAATAGATTTTTTGGGATAGGTAGGATGTATAAAAGCTGCCCAGCATGTACAAAAGGTGGTGCCTCACCAGAGGGTTTCTCTGCTGCTCCTGTGATGGTGGTGGTTGTGTTTGCCACCAGTTTGAAATCAGAGGTGCATTTACTAAACCTTTATAAAATTCAGTTGAAAACCTGTCTGGTTCCCCCTGGGTGCCCCTGGGTGTGCACTGTGGTACAACACCCACCCAAAACAACACCCACAGTGCTCCAGGCTGGCAAGGGGCAGCACAGCCCAGCTCTGAAAGCAGACACAGCCCAAAGCATCTCCAAAACCCCCTGTCAAAACAGACAGGCCAAAAAGCAAAGCAGAGTGCACAGTCATTCTTGTCATTCCAGAGGGATACTTCTGCTTCCTGATTAACTGCTGGAGAGAGTAAGAAATTGTAGAGGGAAAAGTAATAGTTGCTGAATGTAAGACTAAAAGACAGGCCCTTTGACAAGGATATAGAGGGGGAGGACAAGAGGGAATGGCCTTGAGCTGAAGAAGGGCTGGGTTAGATTTGATATTAAGAATTAATTCTTCCCCATGAGGGTGGGCAGGCCCTGGCACAGGTTACCCAGAGAAGCTGTGGCTGCCCCAGCCCTGGAAGTGTCCAAGGCCAGGTTGGACGGGGCTTGGAGCAACCTGGGCTGTTGAGAGGTGTCCTATGGCAGGGGGATGGAATGAGATGAGTGTTAAGATCCCTTCCAACCCACACCATCCCATGTTTCTGTGATATTTAAACAGGGCACATCCAGATCAGAACTCAAGTACTCTGTTCAACTGCTGAGTCACTAAACTGAACATTCTGATTCAAGGCTGCAGCTTAAAAGGCAGAAAACAGGTTTTATTAAAATAAATAATTAATCAGTCTGGCTGTGACAAAGCACAAAGACCACAATGCTTTAAAGATTCAGGTCACAAACTCTTTAGTGCAGTATTGACTGCTGGTATTCAGTGTCTAGAACACAGGCAGGAATGGAGGAATCACTTCTGGAGCTGTGAATTAATCCCTTGGGAACTTTTCTGCAGCTGGTTTTGCAACAGTGCAAAATACCCTCTGCTCTGAAAGGGTGGGCAAGACCCTCCTCTTGAAGGAAAGGTTCTCCATGGGCCAAATGCCACATCCTGACTGCAGACAGAAAGGCTTTGTGTGGCACAAGTTTTCTAATGAAAGGACTGAATCAAAGCCAGGAGAAGTATATGGAGCTTCCCTTTGGATTCGGTGAGCCTTAAATCAGCCCCTGCCTCTGCCCCTGTGGAATTTCAGATGTTAGCAAGCACAGACCAAGTAGCAAACGTGGCCAGTGGGAGAAGAACTTAAAATGAGCTGTCAGCATGTTTTAGTACTGGAGATTAAGATCCTTCAGATATTTATCGAAGAGGGAATTTTCTGATCTTTCCCTATTTTTTGAATATCTACACATATTGACATGCACAACAAGGAGAGCTGGGGATAAAAAAAAAAAGAAGATCCAGTGCTTTTAATGCTGATAATGATTTTGTGGACCATGAAAACGCTTAAATGAGGAAAATCAATCAGGAATAAAAGTAAATTCACGCTGCCTAACTACCTTTCCCTCTGATCATTCACCAACAGTCTTCCTGTGCTTCCTGCAGCATTACTCCTGCTTGCAGATTCCCTGTGGTCCACACAGCTTGTACTGGCACAGCTGACTGAGCCTGCAACAGTTTGTGCTTCATGGATAGTTCCCTTGAAAATGACATTTAAGAAGTATAATGCTGCTGCTTTTGTTTTCTAAATTAATTTCAGTTCCACCTGGAGTTTAGAAGGGAAATATATATTATTCCTCCATACATATTCTGCTGCTGCACTGATGTCCATTGCCCAGAGCAGCTGTGGCTGCCCCATCCCTGGAAGTGTCCAAGGCCAAGCTGGATGGGGCTTGGAGCAACCTGGGATAGTGGAAGATGTCCCTGCCCATGGCAGGGGGTGGGATGAGATGATCTTTAAGGTCCCTTCCAACCCAAACCGTTCTGGGGTTCTGTGAAAGCCTTGTAGACATTCCAGTCACACACAGGAAGAGATTTTATACCAGCAGCCAGGTCTTTAGAAGTGATAAATGTGAACATCAGAGCGTGGGATGTTCAACCAACAGGAGTTTTATCAGAGAAGGCAGAGGAAGAAAGGTATTGACAGCTGCCATGGAAGCAGAGATACTCTGGTTATGGGTAACAACATGCACTCCTGGGCCTGCAATAATGGAGCTTGCTTTATTTTCTGACAGCCCTGTGAATTGTTGCAGCTTCTTAAGAGCAACCCTTGAACTCATGCACTTCCCTGTGAGTGCAGCACAGTGCCAGTGAAATCCCAGCATGCCAAAGGCCACATGCACCACACTGCAGTGAACCAGGAAAAACAGAGTTTGGAGGAAGCTGAGAGCCGGGAGAAGCTGCTTTCCTTCTGACCTGAGCAGCAGCTAGTGCACTCTTGTGGTCTTCCAATGTCACCACAAGCTGGTTGTGCTGGGACAGCAAGTTCTTATGCTGTTGCTGCACAAAAAGAAGAACATCACATGTTTCACATCAAGTTCATCGAGGTAAATTATGAGGAGGCTGAGGGGTTTTGGAGCAGGAAGAGAATTCAGTTCGTTTCGAAAGGAAAATCCCCAGCTGGAATGACGGCACTTATTTATTTAACATGGCATGCATATTAAACAGACAGAGGAAGCGAGCACACCAGGGAAGGGAATGTGGAGGCCAGGATTTCTGTAGTTTAAAATAAAATTAAAAGCTGGGGTAGATGCTGATGAATGTTTTAAAGGAATAGAGCTGGAAAACATTAGGCATTGAGTTTTGCCAAAACTCAGTTCTTAACTTGCAAAATCCAATTCCCAATTGTAAATTCTATACTAAACACTTCTCTTCATTGTTGTGGGATTTTTTATTTGTTTGGGTTTTTTGGGGTTTGTTTGTTTGGTTTTTTTGTTTTGGTTTGGTTTAAGTGCAGGTGGCCAAAGACAAGAAATCCAGTCCAGCCATATTCATTCCTCTCCTTTTGGCCACACAACAGAAACCACAAGTTTTCAGCACAGCCTAATTCTGGCTTGTGAAAACTTGGGAAACCTTTTTTCAACCTGATGTTGAAAGTTCCCCTCGGATTCAAAGCCTACCTTGACATCCTGCAGCTGGGTGTGAATGTCTTGGTGAGCTTTCCTCAACTGCCTGTTCTCCTCCCGTAGGTTATACAGGGACTCTGGTGAAAAGAAATGACACACAGGATGTTAATGCAGATTTTAAACCTGCTCAGGTTTATAACACCAGGCTAAGCATCAAAATTAGGAGTGTAACACAATCTCCATAAAATCCCACACAATTGCTACAGTGAAAATTAATTAGAATAACGGTATGGTTTGTTTTTGTTCTGTCTCTCTCCCAAGCCCTATGAAAACCAATTTTCCAGCAGAAAGTTGTAACATTTGGTTAAATTTTATATCAGTGCACTCGGTCTGCATCTGGAACTCTGCATCACTGCTCCCGCTGGGCACTGCAGATGGCAAAATTCCTTATGGAAACCTGAATCTTTGAAAGGCAGAGAGGAAGGAACCCTCCTCTCTCTTTCCCCACATCCCATCTGGTGAGCAAGAATTTTTTGTGGTAGGACCAGGCTATTCCTTTGAAAGGGATGCCCAGATGACCAGAATGCTTAAAAAGCTTCAGGGACCAGGGAGAGGGGTTTGCATTCCCACTTTTTACATGATATTGTCGTGGAATGTTGTGAGCAGACACGGGCAGGCTGTTCCCACACTGCAGGCTGCAGCCCAGCTCAGCCCAGCTCGCCGTGTGACTGTGCTGCCAAGGCAGAGCTCATAAACACAAAATCCTGCAAGAGCCCCTGCAGACAAAGCTGCAGACAGCTCCAAAACCAACTCCTGAGTTAGTGACACATGGCAGAGCCTGCCTGAGGGCCCTGGTGGGGACAGCCCCATCCTTTTGTTCTGTGGAAGTGTGTAATGAGGATTGAAGGGGCCTGAGAACTGCCAAGAATCTCTTCAGCAGGGAAGTGGATGCCAAGAGTAAAACATGAATCCATCATCCAGGTATTCAGGTGTTTCAGGGGAGCTGATACACAGAGGGGAAAATGAGGTCTAAAATGCATATAAAGTCACTTCATAAAGAGGCACAATTAAATCTCTGATAGAAGTGGCAAATATTCTTAGATTCCATTTCAATTACAAAAAAGAATAAAGAGGCAAACCTATTTTTCCAGGTTTATAAAAGTTTTAGAAGTAAAAATGAAAGTCTGGCTAAACAGCCTCTGACACTTGACAGGCTTTTAAGTGCTGAGTTTCTTACTGTTTCTCTAACCCAGATACAAACACAAAGCACATGTGAATAGATTTCAGAAAGAAGCCACAGACAATCATCAGTAAAATGTAAACTTAGCAGGAGGCAGAAGGTGCACGAGTGACCCGTGAGTGAGAACAGAGAAAATGCCTCCCTCACCTCACACAAAACACAATGGCAAACAAACACACCACTTGAGGGGACAGCCAGACACAGGTTAGATTTACCCTTCAGCTTGGAGATCTCCTGCTCCTTCTCCTGCTGCAGCTGCAAGTACCTCTCCTTGTGAACACTGAATGTCCTGCTAAACTCTTCTCCTTGTTTTCTGTGATCTTCCTCAAGGTCAGCGTGCTGCTTCTTCAGCTCTTCGTGTTGACTCTGCAAATACCAAGTTGGGACAGTGGAGCAGTTCTGTATCTGCATATCTGGCTAATATTGTCTTTGGCAACTTGTTTAATGAGCAGAGATGAATGGGCAGCATTCATAACAGGGAGGTTATTATTCCAAGCATGCACACTGAAGCTCCTCTCAAACACAGGATGATCTCTGTGATGAGCAGGGTTCTGTTCCAGGGCTCTGTCACCTCGGCCCACATTGCACTGTCCCTTTGGGAGCTGCTGAATGTGTCCAAGAAAATCCTCACGTGCCAAACCATGGGAGGGGCTGATAAGCTCAGCATTCCCTACAATAACTGCATTTTGATAAGATTGAATTACCCCCCCTGGAAAGCCTGACTGGGAAAGGCTGCAGGAAATCATCTTTTAAGGGTGCTGTGGAGAGAGGAAAGCACTGACCATGTTCTGACACTCTGGAATGAACCAGAACCCAGCAGGGCCGTGTCCCCCCAGTATAACCAGTCTGACAGGGCACTGGTGTCCTGCTGCCCCAGTACCCACCTTCAGCATCTGGTGCTGGACACTCAGAGCGCTGTATCTGCTGTTGGAGTCTTGCTGTAAAGCACAAACACCCGTGTCAAACAGAACCACGCTGACATTCCTCTAAATTCCATTCAGTCAGTTATTTAGGAGCCACCAGATAAGGGGTGTAACTCCCCAGGAAACAAATTCCCCCTCCCCCTTGCTCTGGAGCAGAGCAGGCACACACACTTTGCACTTACTGCAGCAACAACATATTTTAAGTTACATTACTCAGCTCACAAACTGCTCCCCAGTTTCAACATGAAATAGCCATAAAATCCTAATTTACTCGCTTTATAAAGAGTTCCCCACAGGTCTCTGGGTCCTCTGCCAGATACAGTTTTTCCTTCTGGCACTTGGTATATAAAACAAAGTTTCTTGATGTTTTTATACTTCCCAGTTCAAAGCCCACGTGTTAGAGAGCTGTCACTGTGTTTTTCCCTGTGGACTGAGCTACAAAAAGATTTCCAACACCTTCTCATTCCCCTTTCCCCTTAAATATAAGAACATTATGTTTGAACTACCATAATATAAATAGGAGGATATTTTCTAAATTAATTTTCTGGAGAGATATTAAGTATCTCCTACTACAGCTCCAATAATTAGGAATTGGAGAGCACTTTTGCATGCAGAGTAGACTGGGATAAGTGAGAGCTCTTTCAATTAGTATTTTGCAAGACCTCTTCCTTTGAACAGTTATAATTGCAAAGCATTTCCTTTCTCAGCTATTAAAAACTTGCACTAGGAAAAGATGACTTACCCTTCCTTTATTTAGTGTTTCCTGTGCTTCTAGTTTATAAACAAGAAAATCTGCAACATAAAAAGGGAAAGTACTGATGAAAAAAAAAAGAACAGGAAGATAAGAATCTGTGCTTAAATAACTTGACTGTTGCATGACATAAATTCTCTTAAGAGCTGAATACTTGTACAAATACAATTTTCTTAATAAGAACTTTAAAAAAAATGAAGAGTTGAACAAAATGCTGAACTTAGCTTGGTTAAAAGGTATCACAGTTTCATAAAATGTTTTCATTTAAAAGTTTCCCATCTTGGTGTGACGTGGAGGGGGTGGAGGCTCAAGACTCTGAATGGGCCCACGAGCATCATTCAAAAGGAAAAGGACATTTACAAATCGTGTATTCTTGGAAATGAGAAAACATTCCCTCGTTTGTTTCTTTATCCCCTTTTTAGGGTTTGAAAACGCTGCCTCGCCCTTGGATAGCAACAGGACGGTTCTACACTAGATGGCACCAGAAACCCACCAAGAACTTCACGGTGAGAGTCATTCCTTACTCCTTTTCATCTCTGCTAAAGTAGCATTTTAATTCAGCACCCGAGCCCTCAGTTTTAGGAAGAACAGAGGCTTTAACTCTGAAAATTGAGGTGAATTTAAAGCAACAACAGAGTGAGGAAACTCTGGAGGATTGAATCCTGCTGAACTTCCACAGGGGGCAGAGTGTAAGAAATACAATTTGTGCCAACGTTTCCCCTTCACACACCCCCTGGAACTCAGTTTTAATCAGGAAAGTGGATGTGAGCATGTGTTTACCCTTAAGCACGTGGAAAAGGACTGATTCAGAGTCTAATTTCCCAGTGATGGCATGCAGGAAGAGATCCCATGTTTGTGGTACAAGTTTTGAATGTCTGGCATGCCAGAACAGGATTTCCACATGCCCACACTCCACATACATGTTAGGGTTATGCACTGGGATATAAATATATTCTCTATCTATATTGTGTCATGTTGCAGGGATCTGTAAACAGTACTAAAAAGATGATTACTTTAAAAAATAACTGATTAAAAAAATAAAGAAATAAGAGCTACTAAAAAGACCAGCACAGCTCTGCCAAGGGGGTCCTGCTAATGTGTTACTCAACACATTTAAAACCGAACAAAGAGCATTTGGAGTTAATAATCAAGTTAAATGCCAAAGTGAAAAGCACGGTTTTACCTTCTTTTGCTTTCTTATGTTCGAGCCTCTCCTTTTGTAACGACTTTTCTAATCTTGACCTGTGCTCATAGACAACTGAAAAGAGAAATTTGGCACAGGATTCATTTAAAAAGTGACACGTGCAAACCCCACCACCCACCCCCAACACACCCAGGGGGCGTTGGCACAGAACACACCAGGAAAATACAAGTGGGATGAGGTCACAGGATAAAGGGCTGTTGGGATCATCTGGGACGTGTTTTATTGCATGTTTTATTGATCCTCAGTCCTGAGTGCACAGACATGGCTGGGATAAGCAGGTTAAGTGTTTTGTTCATGGACACAGTCAGCTGTGGTGGAGCTACATGAAAGCTACCAAAATCCTACTCCTAAAGCTACCAAAATCCTCCTCCTAAAGCTACCAAAATCCTCTTCCCTTCTGGGGCATGCAGGCACATTTTCCCGCGCTTCCATCCTCTCCTGCCTTGTTTGCAGAGGGACAAGGAAATAAGACAGGACAACTTCACTGCCAGAGGAATTCCTGGCAGCAAAGGAACTGTCACAAGGAGGGCAGGGATGGCACAAGGAGGGCTGAGAGAGGGCCAGCACTGCACAGGCTGCTTAGGCTGAGGCATAAGGAACCTAATTCCTAAATTCTTCCGAAAACTGGGCACACAGTATTCCTTTGGCACTGCCTAGCAGCAGTTTATGAATCCCAAAGACTGTCCAAGCTGCCCACAGGTCCTTTGTGCACATCCCAAAATGGGGTTTACATTGAGTCTGTTTGTTTGTTTGTTGTATCCGTGTGTATTTAGAACATCCAATATCTCCTGGCACAAAGTCCCCCCAATTTCACTGCCAGCAAAGCAACATTTCACTCAGCTTGTGCTTTGGACATGAGTTTGGGATGTGTCTCACAAAGGATGAGCCACATCAGTCCCTATTTACCCCTTCCTCAGCACTCACTAGGCTGAAGGATCACTACCTGAAATAGCCAAGTTTCCAGCAAAGGTATCAATTAAAACTCCTGAAAATGTACAATTATATGCATCTTTCACTGCCCTAATTACAACTTGCCCTCTTTCAAATAATTATTCATTTATATTAATATAAGAAGTGATTTTCCCATCAAAACTAGGAAACTCACTTTCTGAGAATAAACCACCGGTGAACACGAGCCTTCAGCAGCAGGCATCAAGTAGAGATCTGTATCTTGGCAGCCTCAGAAGGCTCCTCTTGCACCCTAAAACCTGTTCTTAATTCCACCAAGGTGCATTCTGCAGGCTTATCTACAAGTGTTTACGTGTTGGCTCGGGAGCCAGATTGCTAATCAATCCTTGGCACCTATCTCCACTTTGCTATTTATCTTCTAAAGTCAAGGGCATCAGTCAAGATGAACCAATGTATCAACATCCTCTGCAAGAAAACAAGCATGTCATGAATATTCACAAAGCAAGCAGGCCTGGGAAAAGGGGGGGAAAAAAAGGCAGCAGTGCAGTAATGGTTTTATTTAGGCCCTGGAGGTAGTGAATGCTGAATTATAGTGCAAAAGGAACAGTGGTTGTAGCACAGCGGCTCAGGAGAGCAATGAAAAGCCATAATGGGTTTCTCCTCCCATGCAATCAGAGGTGGAAACAGGGGTTTTGGCAAACAGGCTAAACCACAGATGGATTCGGGGGGGTAACATTTTCCAGCCCGCTTCTCTGCCTGCAAGTGCACCTTCCACAGCTCCTCCCGGTGCTTTAAGGGGGGGAAACCCCGCTCAACAAACCCAGACCAAGGCAGGAGCAAAGGAGAAGGGGAAAGCAGGAGTTTGGGGTTTAGGGACCTCTGCTGAGCTCTGCCTTCACCCTGAGCTTGCAGAGTCTCTCCACCCCTCCCAGGTCACGCATCCTCAGCCTTCTGCGTGCTCACCTTTGAAATACTGGCACAAAGCTGGGGAAGTCTTAAAAAAGGGGCTAAAACCAACTTCCTCCCACACCTCTGACCTTCTGCTTCATTGACTGGCTGCTTCAGCATGTTTATCTCTGATAAAAGTCCATAATGTGCAATGTAATGAAGATTTTGATTAAGAATCGTTATTAGGAAGGCACAGCTCCCATGTTTTCACTCTTGCTCTTTTGTGGGGTAGGTTGCAAGTCAGATTTTATAAATAAGTTTCATGGTTTATCTCCCACAAACATAAATTATTTCCACCAGTTAGGAACTTTAAGAGTCCAAACTACAAAGGGCTTGCTACTACAGCAGGGTGTTCCCCTTCTTCACTGCCAGCCTGGGTAGAAGATGGCTGAGCAAGAAGCTGAAAGAAAGAAATACATTGAAAAGCAGGTTTTTTGTAAGAGGTTTCCCAGCTGGGGGGGAAACTGCACAAATCATTTTTCCTGGGGTAGGCTTTTAATTTTGTACTGATCTTTACACAAATAATTGAAGCTTATTTCTACATTATGTTTAATAGAGTGATGATAAAAAAATAAGGGGAAAACTGCTGTCATCTAATGGCTAATATGCACAATTCCAAAGCTGGAATAACTGCAGGTATCAGTTTAATTCTTGAAATTACCTACAGAATGCAACCTACACAAAGGAACAAAGAACCACAGAAACCCACAGAGCCCAGAACGTGAACTGTAACATCACAGCTTGATAAAACACCTTTCACCTTCGACAAGGAAACACTGAACAGTCCTTGAATTGATCCCAATTAAATCAAGCCCTTGATTTAAGGCACTCCTCATACAGAAAAGGAAGTGAAGGAGAAGGGGGGTGTGGGATGCTCTGCAGAGTCTCAGATTACACCACTTTGACCAGTGCTGAACGTTAATTGCAACACAGGAGTTGAGGGAGGTGATGAAAGCAAGAGTATTTAACAGTCCTGGTTATTTCTCTTATCACTGCTCTGCACCTCTAAGCAGCAAAATTATTACCAAGCAAAAATAGTCATTATTGTATATTTAGGAGAAAATATTTCCTAGTTTCCATTTTCAGCAATTTTGTGACTGTGTTACTTTGGTTGTTTGGTCTGTCAGAAGCATGATCTCAGAGTCTACGATACCCCAGCTCCCCCTGTCTTACATACTGGAAAGTCAGACTACATTGGGATTTCAATACATATGATGCAAGAAATTTTACCAATTTCAATGACATTGTTTCTTACACAATTCTGCAATCTTTCTCTAAGCTTACAGTAATACCTTTCATTTAAAACCAGCAGATTTCAGTAGTCTTGGCAACAGTCAGTGTTGTTTTCTCTCAGACTGTGGCAGAGTTGAAGTGAACCAGCAGTGTGGGGTAAATCACCCTGGCACTCTTCTAGTAACACCACAAAGGTCTGTAGGATGTGGACTTGCTGTAAAAACAGTCAATTCCCAATTCTTGTCATTGCTAATGGAACCATTTAAAACATGAATGCAGCTTTTCTGCTGAGGGTGAAGCACTTCCATGAGCCAAGGAAGAACCCCTCCAGTATGGGATGGAGGATAAATTCCCCAGTCCAGTGACAACAACTGAAATTTTGATCTCAGAAGGTATTTCATTCCTCCTCTGACACTGATGCTTCATGCTGGGAGAAGATGTTATTAATACAGCAAGGCCTGCTTCCTAAGCTTCCTAGGTATTTGATTAAGTCAGTGAATCTGCCTTCAAACAAAGAGATCCCTAATCTCATCAGGAACAGATTATCAGGCTCTGGGCAGCTCCTGCTCAAGCATCAGGATTCCCCAGCACGGTACAAACCGTGCTGGCCACAGGATCCCAGGATGTGCCTCATCCATTCCAGAGACTCTCAGCTGACAGTTCAGCACTAAATGGATATTCCAGTGACACTGAAAACAGCTAAGGAACAGTGGAAGACCAGAACAACTACAGTGCAAGAAAACAACATTACAAAAACCATGTCTTTATCATAGAATGCCAAAATGGTTTGGGTTGGAAGGGACCTTAAAGCCCTTCCAGCTCCAACACCCTGCCATGGGCAGGGACTCCTTCCACTAAACCAGGTTGCTCCAAGTCCAAATGATTGCAATGCATTGAACAAAATACTGAAGCTGTTTAATAATTTACGTCCCTGAACTTTTCTGGTTTGAATTTACACAAAAAAACACAGAAATAGAAGCCAAGACAATGTAAAACTGATTGTGTGTGAGGTTTAATTATGGAACACTTTTGCATCCAGGCAGATGGAATGTTCTCATTTTGCTCACTGCAAGCCACAGCTGGCACTGGATGGAGTATGAGAATTACCTTTACTTTAAAACAAACTCCCACACTTTTCAATTTACTCACATGATCAAGTGATGGTTTTGCCTAATTACAGCCAGTCCTGCAAATTGGGAAAAACTAACCCTGTGCATTGGAAGTTGTGCTTAAAAATAACCACAGCTTTGACTTAATTCCCTAGTCATCTGTGTCGCTCAGAGTGTTAATAATTTTAAGAGAAAAGCTTGCATTTGATATCTGGATCTTCACATCCAGGGGATTTGCAGCGTTTGTCACAGACCTACCAACGATCTCAGTTTGCACAAGGAAGGAAGTGAAACATCTGCTTTCAGAGGTGCTGCACCAAAAATGAGCTGTCACTTCAAATTCTCTTAACTCAGTCAGTACTCCAGCAGTCAGAAGCTCTGTTCTAACTACAAGTTCCAGTAACTAGTTGTAGTTTTGCTTTGACTGCAGTCCTGGAAATGAGGGAACCCTGAGGAAATTCAGCACATCAATTCAGTTCACCCCGGAAACACACGCTTATATTTCCAAGAAATCATCGTGGCCTCTATTCGTTTAAAAGGGTGGCGTGCAATTATAAGGACGACACGAAAATTAATTTCTAAACTGGAGTAAAAATCTACGTTTCATAGAATCCTTTTCCCCCAGCCTGCCTCACGTACTGCCTTTCTTAGAAGTCAGTAACACCTCCAGGAAACAACAGATTTAAGATATGTTGGGATAGAGGGAAGGATTTATCATGTTCAAACAGCAGACTGCAAGAGCTGCTGCTAAAAATACATTTGAGAAGGGGTATTAAATGAGATTAAATATTTAATCCCTCACAGATAGGCTTGTGCCCCGACTTTCATTAGGAAGGAGATCATGTTTTCTAGAAA